AAGTAAATGAGGCGTTTTGGGGATTTGGTGGATAGTAAATGAATCCAAATAGAAACAGTATCAAGGATCACACTCTATAAAATATATAAATAAAATAGAAAATGTGTTATACTATAATACGTTTTGATAACAAAGCAAAGCAAAAGTAGCACCAGTAGTAGTAGTAGTAGTAGTAGTAGTAGTAGTAGTAGTAGTTAGTTCTTGTTGTTGTTGTTATAGTTGTACTTGTTGTAGCTGTAGTTGTAGTAGTAGCTGTTATAGTTGTAGTAGATGTTGTAGTAGTAGTTATAGTAGTTCTTGTTATAGTTGTAGTAGTTGTGATAGTGACAATAGTAGTAGTAGTAGTAGTAGCAGTAGTAGTGGTATTAAAATATGGCTGTGTACCTTCATATACTTTACTATATCGACTTTGTTAGTGTAGTAGTTGTAGTGTAGTAGTGTTGTAGTAGTTGTTTGTAGCTGTTGTTGTTATAGTTGTAGTAGTTGTGGTAGTAGCAATAGTAGTAGTAGTAGCAGTAGTAGTACTAGTAGTAGTGGTAATACACTTTGGCTGTTTACCTTCATATACTTTACTATATCTACTTTGTTAGTGTAGTAGTTGTGGTAGTAGTAGTTGTTGTATTAGGTGTTGTAGCAGTAGTTGTTAAAGTTGTAGTAGTTGTAGTAATAGCAGCAGCAGTAGTAGGACTAGTAGTAGTATTAAAATATGGCTGTGTACCTTCATATATGTTTAGTAGTTGTAGTAGTTGTAGTACTAGTAGTAGTAGTTGTAGTAGTAGTAGTAGTAGTAGTAGTAGTAGTAGTAGTAGTAGTAGTAGCAGTAGTAGTGGTATTAAAATATGGCTGTGTACCTTCATATACTTTACTATAGCTACTTCATTAGTATAGTAGTAGTAGTACGTGTAGTTGTAGTTGTTGTGTAGTAGTAGCCAGTAGTATAGTAGTACCAGTAGTAGTGGTATTAAACATTGGCTGTTTACCTTCATATACTTTACTATAATCGACTTCGTTAGTATAGTAGTAGTACTTGTAGTTGTAGTAGTAGCAATAGCAGTAGTAGTAATAGTACTAGTGGTATTAAAATGGCTGTGTACCTTCATATACTTTACTAAATCGACTTCGTTCGTTTAGTAGTAGTACTTGTAATTGTAGTTGTAGTTGTAGTAGTAGCAGTAGTAGTAGTAGTGGTATTAAAATGGCTGTCCTTTATATACTTTACTATATCGACTTGTTATTTAGTAGTAGTACTTGTAGTAGTTAGTAGTAGTAGTAGTAGTAGGTATTAGTGCTGTACCGTCATATACTTTACTATATCTACTTCATTAGAATAGTAGAAGTACTTGTAGTTGTAGTTATAGTTGTAGTAGTAGCAGTAGTAGTAGTAGTGGTATTAAAATATGGCTATGACTACCTTCATATACTTTACTATATGTACTTCATTAGTGTAGTAGTAGTAGTTGTGGTTGTAGTTGTTGTAGTAGTCATAGCAGCAGTAGTAGTACCAGTAGTAGTGGTATTAAAACATGGCTGTGTACCTTCATATACTTTACTATATCGACTTCGTTAGTATAGTAGTAGTACTTGTAGTTGTAGTAGTAGCAGTAAGTAGTAGTAGTAGTAGTAGTAGTAGTAGTAGTGGTATTAAAATGGCTGTGTACCTTCATATACTTTACTATATCGACTTCGTTAGTATAGTAGTAGTACTAGTAGTTGTAGTAGTAGTAGTAGATTAGTAGTTGTAGTATAATCTTTATATTCGTTTCGTTAGTAGAGTAGTAGACTGTGTAGTTTAGTAGAGCAGTAGTAAGTAGTGGTATTAAATGGCTGTGTACCTTCATATACTTTACTATATCGACTTCGTTAGTATAGTAGTAGTACTTGTAGTTGTAGTAGTAGCAGTAGTAGTAGTAGTGGTATTAAAATGGCTGTGTACCTTCATATACTTTACTATATCGACTTCGTTAGTATAGTAGTAGTACTTGTAGTTGTAGTAGTAGCAATAGCAGTAGTAGTAATAGTACTAGTGGTATTAAAATGGCTGTGTACCTTTACTGCTTTTACTTTTTTGATTTAGTTTTTTAATCAGATGAACAGAGGATGTGAAGTGCACAGGGACAGTTTCACGTTTAAAGGGGAGTGTTATATTTAAAGGGACGTGACACCCCCCCCTCCCCCGTCCTCCGTCCCTGCCCTCCCTCTGTTCCTCCCCTCATCCCCCCGTCCCTCCGTCCCTCCGTCCTCCCCCCGTCCCTCTGTCGTCCCTCAGGCTCATAACCCCGTGTCAGGAGGACAAGACGACAGATTGTAGAGTCACGAGGTCAGGGCTGGTAATAAGAGACATGATGTGATGAGGGGACGGAGAGAGAGAAGAGAAGAGGAGAGAGGAGAGAGAGAAATAGACAGAGAGATGGAGATGTAGAGGGATAGATGGACGGAAGGATAGAAGAAAGGAAGGATTGGAGTATGGAAGAAAGGATGGGAGGAAGAAAAGAATGATGGATGGAAGGAAGGAAGGAAGGATGGATGGAAAGATGGAAGTATGAAAGGAAGGAACAAAGGATGATGGATGGATGGATATAAGGATGAAAAGATAGAAGGAAGGAAGGATTGATGTATGGAAGGAAGGAAAAAAGGTTGGATGGATGGAAGGAGGGATGGGAAGATGGAAGAAGGGAAAGAAGGAAGGAAGGATAGAATGGAAGAGAGGAAGGCTAGATGGATGAAAGGATGGAAAGATGGAAGGAATGATGGAAGGAAGGAAGGAAGGAAGGAAGGAAAGAAGGATTGAAGTGTGGAAGAAAGGATGGAAGGAAGGAGAAAGGGATGGATGGAAAAATAGAAGGTAGGATGGAAGGAAGATAGAAAGATGAAAGGAAGGATGGATAGATGAAAGGAAGCATGGATGGATGGATCGATGGAAAGATGGACAGAAGAATGGAAGGATAGAAAGATGGAAGGATGGATGGAAAGATGGATGGATGGATGAAAGGAAAAAAGGTTGGATGGATGGAAGGAGGGATGGGAAGATGGAAGAAGGGAAAGAAGGAAGGAAGGATTGATGTATGGAAGGAAGGATGGAAGGAAGGAAAAATGGTTGGATGGATGGAAGGAGGGATGGGAAGATGGAAGAAGGGAAAGAAGGAAGGAAGGATAGAAGGAAGAGAGGAAGGCTAGATGGATGAAAGGATGGAAAGATGGAAGGAATGATGGAAGGAAGGAAGGAAGGAAAGAAGGATTGAAGTGTGGAAGAAAGGATGGAAGGAAGGAGAAAAGGATGGATGGAAAAATAGAAGGTAGGATGGAAGGATAGGAAGGATGGAAGGAAAGATGGATAGCATGGAAGGAAGGATGGATGGATCGATGGAAAGATGGACAGAAGAATGGAAGGATAGAAAGGTGGAAGGATGGATGGATGAAAGGAAGGAAGAATAGTTGGATGGAAGGAAGAACAGATGGATGGAGGGAAGGATAGATGGATGGAGGAGTAGGGAAGAAGAGAGGAAGAAAGACAGATAGAGGGACAGAGAAATATAGATGGCAGATGGATGAATAGACAGATGGAAGGATGGATGAAAGGATGGAAATATGGAAGGAAGGAAGGAACGAATGAAGGCTGGATGGATGGATGGTTGGAAGATAGAAGGAAGGATTGAAGGAAGGAGAGAAGGACGGATGGACGGATGGAAGGAAGGAAGTATAGATGGAAGGAAGGACAGAAGAGTGGAAAGCTAGATGGATGAAAGGATGGAAAGATAGAAGGAAGAATAGTTGGTGGAGGGAACGATAGATGGATGGAGGGAAGGATGGATGGATGGATGGATAGATGGATGGAAGAATAGTTAGATAGTTGGATGGAGGGAGAGAGCAGGGAAGAAGAGCGGAAGAAAGATAGATAAAGGGAAAGAGAAAAACATAGATGGGTAGATGGATGAATAGACACATGGAAGGAGGGATGGAAGGAGAAATGGAAGGATGGAAAGATGGAAAGATGGTTGAATGGATGGATAGAAGGAAGTATAGATGGATGGAGGAGCAGGGAAGAAGAGAGGAAGAAAGATTGATAGAGAGATGAATAGATAGATAGAGGACAGATTTATTTATTTTTTGCTTCACAGTCACATTCTTACATTCAGGAGGCCCGTCTCTTCACAGATCTGACTTGCGATCGAGCTTGTCTCCATGGAAATACTGTCCATTTAAAGCAGGGGTGGGCAAACTACGGCCCGGGGGCCATATGCGGCCCTTTAAACCTATTAATCCGGCCCGCCGAACTGGAATAAATTACAATAATAAACCTTGTTGATGTTTTATTTGTCATGCATTTCCAGCGTTTCCCAGTAGATGGCGCACTATATATACATTGAGTTGCGGCGTATTATGTTGGCCGCAATGCTTTATGGGAAAGTGTTCTTACAGGAGTTATTCAGACCATGAGTGAAGTAGTTGGTGCTGAAGATATAAGACTGCACTGCTTCCATTTTGAATTGGTAATAATCAATCTAGGGATCCTGTGGTCTCTGAGTTGTAATTGTTAATGTGAACAACATTTTGGAGGCAGGTTTTGTCACACTCACAGGTGTGTGTCTGTGGTTGTTTGGTTTGAGCTTTGATTTTGAGCAGTCACCAGTCATATTTTAAAACGGTGAACTCACGATATACATTCACTTGTGGTGTGCAGTGGAACAGGTGTCAACAGTTTTATGTGTTCTGAATCTTTCACAGCAGTGATGAAACGTGTAGCGCGTCTGAAGTCCTAGATAAATGTGAATAAGAACGTAATGAATCTGAGCTCTTAACACGTTATGTCCTGTCTTCTGTCCGGGCCCTTCAGTCAAACTTTAGGACCCTATGTAGCCCGCGAGCCAGAAAGTTTGCCCACCCCTGATTTAAAGCCACACTTTGGGACATTCCGGACCGTTTCCTGATTCCACCCTCCTGGAAAACAGGCGCGCGGCGAAGCTTTAAAGTGGGCACACGGGACACAGACGCCTGGAGCAGTAATGGCCCGAACGTGCGAGAGACAGAGATACAGCACCATCAGGCTCTCCGCGGGGGGTAAGGAGGGAGACGAGGAGGACAGAAGGATGGGCCAAAGTGACAGGTCCGCGGGGCAGAAGGGAGGAGGAGTGGAGGAGTGGAGGAAGAGGAGGAGGGGAGGAGGGTCATAGCTCTCTGCTGTCTGTCACCGGGACAAGAGCAGGACTGAAAACAGCAGGTCATCCCAACGTGTGCAGACTAACAATACACCTGGAGAGAGAGAAAGAGAGAGGGAGAGAGGGATGTGTGAAGGAGAGAGAGAGAGAAAAGGAGAAAGAGATAGGAGGGACGGGGAGAGAGAAATAAGAAAGAAATTGATTTATACAGAACTGGGAGAAGCGAAAAAGGGGAGGGGGGACTATGGGGAAAAGAGAGAGATAGACAGCCAAGAAAGAGGGATGGAGAGAGCGGGAGAGGTGGAGGGAGAAAACAGAAACACAGAGAGAGAGTGAGTGGAGTGGCCTGGGGAGTCAGAAGAAGGGATGAAGAGAGAGAGGAAGGGGCCAAGGACATCCAAAGTTCAAACCCGCCGAACAGACGCGCTGCTGGGGGGGGCGGGACGTTCGGGGGCGGTTCTGTCCGCTGATTGGCGCGTCGACGCGGGCTCCGATTGGTCCCTCTGCTCGGCGGCCGGAGCGGGTGAGGATACCTGGAGAGGAAAAGGATTTGCACGGATCACAGGAGAAAGAGAACGCAGGAAGAGAGAGGAGAAAGCGAGGTGGGAGGAGCTGCACACAGAAGGACATGCAGCTCTGCGCTATATTTAAACTCCAAAGCATCTGGGTGTCACTGAACACGCTGTTACTGCACCTTTGCTCAGAGTTAGAAATAACATTGTGATGTGCAGGATTCATTTAGCAAAAAGTATTACCCCAGATGCCCTTCCTGACACCATCCAACCTGGGATTAAGTTAGAAACATCTGAAGGTTTTTGAAGAAGAAGCTGTTTCAAACATCATTTATACCAGGAATGTCCAAACTATGGCCCGGGGACCAAAAGTAGTTCTTTTTACTGCTCATTTATGTCTACTAACTTAACTATTTTGACATGGTACAGACTTTACTAAACTTAACTCAAGCCTTATTAAAGGTGTGGTGCAACATTTTGAAAAATTCACTACCGTCTGTGGGCCTAAGTTTCAATATGTGGCCTTCAGTGAAAAAAGTTTGGACAACCCTGAGTTATACCATTGAAGTGCATTGTGTGTTCCCCAGTGTAGTGGTCCAGACAGACAGACAAGGTATAAAAATAAGTTTAAATTTAATAAAGTAAAAGAATATACATATGTAACAAAAGCTCAAATTAGGTAAATCAACAAACAAAAAGTCAGGCCCTTCTGTGGTAACTTAAAGGTTGTATGTAGGATTTTTTTTTTTTCAGTTTCAAATTGTCAATGAAAGTTTAAAATACCATTACAGAGCTGCAGCAGCTTTGTAATTATGATGACCAAAAAAAAAAGAATGAAAATCTATGAACTGTGGACTTAGTGAGGCCAGACAAACATCAGCCAATAGAAAACAAGGTTGCCTCATTTTCTATTGGCTGTTAGGTTGTCAATCAAACTCTCTACATTTCTAGGGTAACTATGCAGCGGTTCTTAGAGGCTTTTTCTACTTGTAGCTTCCTCGCAGTTCGCACAAAGTTTGTTGCGATGCCGGACGAGAATCCACGACCAGTTCTCCACAAAAGAAAGTCCGTTTTTGAGGTCGCTGAAAGAAGAAAAGGAGGAGAAAAGGAGCAAAGACAAACTGAGGTGATTCTTGGAGATTCCTTTCAGCGATTGCGCGACTGAAGCAGACAAAGGGTCTAAAAACTGAGGTGTCGGTCTCCAAAAGATTTCTAGAGGAACATTTGAAAAAGGCTTGTCGCTGTATTTCTCTTTCCTTAAAAAATCCTCTATACAACCTTTAAATCAAACTGAAAAGAACAAAACTAACCCAACCAGACAACTAAACTAAAACTACTAAACTAGACCCAACTGAAGCTACTAACTTAATCAAAGTAACAAGAAGGCAAAAAAGTATAATACAGGAAATAATACACGATAATAAAGTGACCATAAACAAACTGGACAAACTAACTAAATTGTGCTTCTCCCTTTGTTTGGCGTAGATGCATAGATGGTCTCTGCCAAGGGTCGTCCATCTGGCCACGCAAACACAAAAAAGAACAAGTGTAAATGATAATTCAGACTTAGATTACCATGTTTTACTTATTTAAAATCATTATTTTTTTCAAAAAAATGACAGTGTGCTTTATGTATTAATTCTGGTTGTGGTACACAGTGCACCAAAAATCTATCAAAATGTTTTAGTATGACTTTGGTAAATTACGAAGCCACACCGGTTGATGAATTGTCGGAGCTGAAATCGTTCATGCAATTGAGCCATTGTGACTTTAAGTTTAATTTCTGTAAAACGTAAACAAATGTGCGCAAAGCTGCATCAAACACATTATTACTCAATGTAAATAACAAAATTTAATTATCCATCCACATTCACGTTCATAACACACATTCACCAAGTCAGGGAGGCAACGCCGGGCGAATTACATCACGATCAGCCAAAGGATCGTGAACGCCTGGACTAAGGATCAGTCTCAAGTGTCGTCCGTTTGTTTCGCTTAATGCACTTTACAATCCGGTGCTCCTTATGTATGAAAATAGACGAGAAAATTCAACATTACTGATATAGCGCCTTATAAACCGGTGCGCCTTATAGTCTGAAAAATACGGTAACTAAAACGTGTGCACCCAAATTAGAATATAAATCTAAATAAAGGAATTAAATTGAACTATGTGTGCTGTAATTAACTTAATGTAAATGAAATGAAATAACGCAAACACTGTGGAGCGGTGGCAGAAGTATCCACCACACCCAGTATTACGTTACATGGCATTACACTCATCTATCGCCATGACGACAAGCAGGTGGCGGGACCCTACCCCAGTGAAGTTACAGTTAAGTAAAAAAATGGACAAATGGCAAAAAGTGCGCCTCCATATCTTCACTATCTTTGCCCTGTGTATGTGCAGACCAGCTGGACTATAACAAAACTTTTAACATTAACGCCTACGCTCAGTCCTACTGCAAAACAAAAGGCTCTTATTTCCCAACACTAAATAGTAGTGGTACAATAGTAAATAGTAGCTCTTTTTATGTTGCTTGTGGTCTTATAATTCTGACTAAAGGCTGCCGCACACTACAGGATTTTCCGCTCTTAATTGATTTTTAAATGTGCGACAAAAAGTGCACATCACAGACACAAGGAGAATCTTACGAGACTTAAAATCTCCAATCACAAAGACCCCAGCGGGATGCGGACCACAGGCTACAAAACTCTGAGCGTGAACTGTTTCCTGTCTAGAGTAAAATGACTTCCTTTGGGGCTCTTAAGTTTTCAAAAGATCAGAACTCTGCCAAATCGCACACGAAAGACACGAAGTTGGGTCACACCTCCTTGAACCAGGGGAGAAGCAAATTGCAGCCAAAATCTAGTGTGTGGTGGCCTTTATATCAACATTATTCTAAAACTCTTAAAGTCCTATGACAGGTTAGACTACTCATTTAACTAAAACACAGTTAAGATATTTATATTTAAGATTTTATTAAAGTATATGATTTTTTTATTTTTTTTTCCCCATGTTAGCAATGTTTTAGAATTCAAATTTAACTTCCTGGTTAGAAATCATGACATCGCACTAAGGAGTTCCATATCACCCTACACATGGGTCCGGTCAAGTGGTAACGGAGGGAAACAGGGCCAGGTTTTTTACATTCAAATGTCTCTTATTCAGAAACTAGAGGAACTATTGAAATAAGTAAAGTATCAGAATGTAGGAAAGAGTTAACACTCCAACAAAGTAAAGTTAAACCTGTGATTTTCTTTCAAGTTGTTGACAAAAATTTTTAAAACTCATGTTGGTAACAGAGGGAATAAAATATGCAGCACTTTTTGGGCAATAAATAAAAACAGTGATAACTCTTGGTTCTCACTTACATATCCTTAACAAACTGGTTTGAATATTTGCTTCATATAGTTTTCTACCATATGGTACAAGATTAGGTTGAAAAACCTCTTACTTTTTGAGTAATGAGATTTTTTATTAAGAAAGGTCATGGAACGGAGGGAAAAGTAACGGAGGAAAAATTGTGCAAGCAAGTAGAAGGTGCATGATTTTGCATAATTTGTCGCTTTTTTCTTCCGAATACTTTAATATTACTTCAAAATGAAAGGAAACTATTTTCTATAGAATATGTCAGTCCTTCCAAGCAAATTTTTATCATTTTAAATACTTTTTTTTTTTTTTTTTAAATCATGTACCTTCATCAACAGTTCAGAGATCGAATAACACAAGATATGATGAAATACATCAATTTATTGACATGATTTGCAGGTACTTTGAAATTTGGGAAATAATTTTTGTTCCATGTTTCATACATGGTCTGTTTAAAACATATGTAACTTTAGAACCAAAAATGGTACAGAAAAAAGGTAAACAGTTTCATAAATTAGAGTACATATGTATCTGTTGAATACATTTTTATATCAGATGCATTAACTTGAATTTTTGGCCTTGCTGTTTACTTCTGCTTGACCGGGTCCCTATAGCAACCATGTAGTACACTCAGCCAAAAGTCCTCTAATGTACATGGAAATTATTATTGACTAATTCAAATACAACAAAACACCTTAAATATTGTAAAAACAAAACAAAGTGCAAACTGTGCCAAACTTTTGGTTAGAACTCTCCAGTATGACGTCATCAGTGATTTAGAAATCTCTGCTTCTTGTCACTTTCAACAAATTTTTCAACTTTTCTTCACAAATTGCTTCTTGATTGGTGTAAAACTATACTATATATTTATAATCGGTATTGTCCCATCAAATTAAGTCAAAATTTGAAAATCATTAAGCGCTGTCGTAAGCACTTTAAGAATATTTAGTCTTGTTTACATGATTATTTGTTCAAACTAAACTGCATTCATCAATTCTTAAAGAGGGTCTTTTTTACTTTTAGTTTCACTTTCTCTTTCTCCCATCCACTTGCTCTCTA